AGTTTGGTATTGTACTTTGGAGTAATTGAAATAAAGTTTGATTGTTTATATGAGATATCAAATTAATTTAGTCTCTACTATCAGTAATACCCTTTAAAATATTTGGGTGTTACAATGAACGCTCGTAAGTTTACTTGGGTATGTGTAAGGCCGTTCGGCCACTTACGAATTCTGCCTCTTTTATTGTAAGACTGTTTTGTCATATTAATACATGTGAATATTCTATTATATAGTTGATGACTGTATAATTTTGGGATGTTACATTATTGGTATCAGAGCAGTTTTGTTCTCTTAAGGACACTGTAGGTTATGAGTGCACTGTGTTTTTGTTGTGTGCTTAAATTTGTGATTAATGAGTTATTTTAACTCTTTGAATATAACTAACGTTCGTTTTTCTCTGTGTTCCAGAGAACAAATGGCCCCTAGGCTCCCTCCTCCACCACAGCCCAATGAATCTGATACACCCAACAACACTAGGTTGTTGGAAACGGTGATAGATAGACTACAGCAGCAAAATACAGTATTGATGGAGCAGAAAGCTGCTGCATTACAAAGTTTAGAGGCCGCTCGCGCTAATTCTGAGGCGACTCAGCGGCAACTAATGGAAATAATTGCTGCCACCCGAGGCACGCCAGGAGCGTCCTCTTCGAACGCCACGCCCCATGCTGAATGGAGTTTAGAAAGTTTCCTCCAACATCATCCGGCCAAATTTAGTGGGAAGTGCCTTCCTGACGAGGCAGATCAGTGGCTGCGTGACATGGAGAGGATTTATAATGCAAAGAGGTGTCCAGATGAGAACCGCTTGGCTTTCACGGAGTATCTACTTACTGGAGAAGCAAGCCACTGGTGGGCGAGCGTGAACGCTTTATTGACGGACGCCCACAGTCCCATTACTTGGGAAGTGTTTAGAGCCAAATTTTATGAGGAATATTTCCCTGACAGCGTACGGTTTGCTAAGGAGGTGGAGTTTCTCCAGTTGATACAGGGAGGAATGTCAGTTTCGGAGTATACAAATAAATTCAAGCACTTGGTGAGGTTCAACACTATGGCTACCAGCGAGGAGTGGCAGTGTAGAAAGTTTGAAAATGTGCTGAGAAGCGATCTTAAGGTGTTGATCTCCAGCTTGTGTATTCGGTCGTTCCCTGCCATGGTTGAGAGGGCTAAAGTGTTAGAGAAAAATATGGCTGAGGCGGAACAACAGAAGAAACAACAGGCGTCAAGAGGACCAATTCTGTCGAGACCCAATCTGAGTCGGAACAGGACTCCATACGCTCGTCCAGCACAGTCTAGTGGGTCTCAAACAATGGTGGTTGCTAGACAATCAGGACAACTGGGAACGGTCAGGTGCTTTCAATGTGGGGGACCTCATTTTAGATCATCATGTCCTCAGCTGGTTGGAGGAAAATATTGCACTCGGTGTAGAAGAAACAGCCATCTGGAGAACGAGTGCAATATGGGCGAACGTGCTGTGATGAGACCGCCGAACATTGGGAGGAACCAGCAAGGGAGAGGTGGACGAGCCCAGGCTGTTGGGCGTGTGTATGCTATTACTGGAGCGGAAGCCGCGAGCTCAGGTACGCTCATCACCGGTACCTGCTTAATTCATGAAAAGCAATGTTGTGTAATGTTTGATTCGGGGGCGACACACTCCTTCATCTCGAAGGCGTGCGTTGATAAGTTGGGAATAGCTGAGAGCGAGATGCAGTTTGACCTGGTGGTGTCGACCCCAGCAGCTGGTGAGATTAGGACATCTACTGTGTGTGTTAGATGTCCTATTGAGGTAGAAGGGCATAGATACAAGGTGAACCTCATATGTTTGCCTCTCAAAGACTTAGAGGTAATTTTGGGAATGGATTGGCTGAATACCAATCGCATTCTAATAGATTGTGGAGCTAAGGAGTTAATTTTTCCTGAAGAAGACGAAGAGGATTTGGGTGTGACGCTCGGTCAGTTGAAAGAAGATATTATGGAGGGCGCTAGCTGCTTCTTGATTATGACGCACGAAGACAGAGAGGTTGGAAGTATGAGTTATGAGCGATCGTCCAACAAGTACAGTGGAGGACGATCGATTGTAGACGAATTCCCGGACGTTTTTCCGGATGAAGTGCCAGGACTTCGTTCGTGAAGTGGAATTCACGATTGATTTGGTAACGATAGCAGCACCAATCTCTGTTCAGCCTTACCGTATGGCACCCGCTGAATTGGCTGAACTTAAGAAGCAAATTGAAGATTTAATGGACAAGAAGTTCATCCGGCCAAGCGTGTCACCCTGGGGAGCGCCCGTACTATTAGTAAAGAAGAAGGATGGCAGCTCTCGGCTATGCATTGACTATCGTCAATTGAATAAGCTGACCATCAAGAACAAGTATCCTCTGCCACGGATTGATGACTTGTTGGACCAATTGCATGGAGCGAGCGTTTTCTCTAAGATGGACTTGAGATCAGGCTATCACCAAATTCGGGTTAAGGAAGGAGATATTCAGAAGACGGCCTTCCGTTCACGCTATGGACATTACGAGTACGTGGTGATGCCGTTCGGTGTGACGAACGCTCCAGCAGTCTTTATGGACTACATGAACAGAATTTTCAGGCCGTATTTGGACAAGTTTGTGGTGGTATTTATTGATGATATTCTCATCTACTCCAAGAGATGTGAAGAGCACGAAGAGCATTTGAGGTTGGTACTTGGAGTATTGAGAGAAAAAGAGTTGTACGCTAAGTTGTCCAAGTGCGAATTTTGGATGAAAGAAGTACAGTTCTTAGGTCACGTCGTATCCGCTGGAGGAATATCAGTTGATCCGGCAAAGGTACGAGCGGTCTTGGAATGGGAGAGTCCGCGCTCGGTCACGGAAGTTAGAAGCTTTGTGGGACTCGCGGGCTACTATAGGCGTTTCATAGAAGGATTTTCTAAGATAGTAGCCCCGTTAACACAGCTAACCAGGAAAGATCAACCGTTCGCTTGGACCGATCGGTGTGAATCTAGCTTCCAGGAACTGAAGCAGAAGCTGACAAGCGCTCCAGTGTTAGTAATTCCGGACACTGCCAAACCTTTCGAAGTTTACTGTGATGCATCCCACCAAGGTTTGGGTTGCGTTCTCATGCAAGAGAAGAAGGCAGTGGCGTACGCCTCTCGACAATTGAAAATACATGAGAGGAATTATCCAACGCACGACCTGGAGTTGGCAGCGGTCGTCTTTGCTCTGAAGATTTGGAGGCACTACTTATATGGATCAGTTTTCCAAGTCTTCAGCGATCATAAGAGTCTCAAGTACCTCTTTGATCAAAAGGAGTTGAATATGAGGCAGCGGAGGTGGCTTGAATTCTTAAAGGATTATGA